TAAACCGTAGGCAGAGAGGGAGAAGAGGACAACAAACGAGGGGCTGTGACAAACTGTTTCGTCGGAGTTTCACCGACTCATCAGGAGGCTATATATGTATATATATATATATATATTTTTTTTTTTTTGATTCTACTTTGTCCGTCTCTTTGACTGTATATATATATCTATTTTTGCTCAGTCTGACTGCCAAGACTGATGGCGAGGCGGTATACTACCCCGTAGGGTTACATTTGTAATTTTGTTCGACTGAGGGCTAACCGTGAGACGAACCTGCGAGGAAAATTCGTGAGGGCCATATCTGTAAATATGGGAAATATAGGCCCAGCAGTATTTCGAATTTCCTATACGTACCCTTGCTGCGAATAGCAGGGCCGGACTACCCCCAGGACAGACAGGCCCTGATGGCCTAAGCTGATATACGGTTCTATAGCCTATAGTCGGGTCCGGTAGAGACCGAGAGGCCGAAATTGCAACGGTATTGGTCAGTTAGTCAGTCTGGTCTAGGTGTAGGTGAGAGTACTGTACTCTATTAGTAGAATGAGGGAAATCGATTGGGGAGCAAGGGACGGGAACAAACTCTGTTATGATATTCGTTCGAGTTGGCTCATCAGCAGCATCATATCAATTGTGATCTTGCTGAAGTTCTTTATTGTGATTGTTTGTTGGGAGTCTGTCGGAGAGTGAGAGTCATTGTGTAACCTCCCCCACGTGTGCATGGTTGAATTCTGTTGCTTATCCTTGTCTGTGTGCAGTTTTGACTCTGTCACCTCTCCCCCTCTTCTTATGCATGTGTGGGCGTGTTTGGGATTGTCTGTGTGTGAGTGCCGGAAAAAATCGTCAGACAACCAAGTGATATATATATATGAAACAGTTTGTCACAGCCCCTCGTTTGTTGTCCTTTTCTCTCTCTCTGCCTACGGTTTACCGGACAGTTCTGTTTGTGACTATATATATATATATATTTTCACACATCTGATGGTATCTTATGTCTTGTGCTTT